CAACGTCCTCTGGCTGGACAGAAGCAGATTTCTCTGCCTTTTCTTTTGCCTTTTTCTTCTTCTAAAATGAGACATGTAAAATAAGATCATGTTTAATTGTTTATCATTGTTTAGCTGAGATAAAAAAGTATTTAATCAAGTATTAACACAACATCTAACATATTCAAGATAGAGTTTGTGTGCTGCTTCAGATATATCCATCATCCAACATGGAACAAAGTTCAGGTTTTACTTCCAATCAAAGGACTCATTTTTAAAGTTCACTCTCCAATTACAGATGGAAAACAGATGGTCTCGATATCTGGCACGCACTGATGACTGGGCCAGACGAAGACTTTATTTTAGACACTCATTAAGATTAGCGCTGCCAGGTAAACAAACAAGGTTTTCTTTTTCCTGCTGCTGGAATTCCCTGGCGTGAAATAAATCCACAACATCATAATTTGTTTAACCTGAGTGGAAGAACATCCATTAGTGAATAGACGTACTTTTGGAGTTGACAGGATTAATCCTGAATATCCTTCATCACGTCGCTGTATAGTCTTCTTTAGAGATGAATCTTATCTCATCTTACAGCACTCAAAGGTTTTGCAATATTTTAGGAAGGGAAATTGTGCAGATTTAACCGCAGAAATTATGTTTAACATTTGCATCGTCTAAAACAAACAAGACTTTGTTCACTATTAGAAGATCATCTGTAACCATAATGAAACTATTTAAATGTTGGAAATTGAAATGTAAAGCCACTCAGCTCTGCTGTAACCTCTGCACCACCAGCAGATGCAGGTCATGAGTGGGAGTTTTAATGGCCCTCATTCTCATGGCCTCCTAATGTGTTTTGAAGAATGCAACTGTATTGCATAAATCTTGGTTGGATCCCTCTCCACACGCGTCCACTAGTGTATCTGGTTATTATGCTTTCGCAAACAGAGACCAGCAGATAACTGACAGTAACTCCACCACAGTGCCGGGATATGTGCAGCTCTGCTTTACATAGAGAGACCTCACATGTCTCTTTGTCCATCCACTTGCTACTGCAGAAGAATATGGACCGTTGGTGGCTTGTCAGTGCCATTCAGACAAAGGACTTCACTCATGGAGCCATTTCAGAGAGGCCCTCCAGATTATCACTCACAATGACTACACAGTGCTTCTCTACTGTGTGACAACACTCATTCTGTCTGTGCCAAAACACACTGACGGAGGCCAGCAGATCTCTCAGCAGATCACAAGGCCACTTGCAGTCTACTTAGTAATGGCATCGCAGTGTGACAAGCTTCAGCTGCCAAGAGGTTAGAGTACAAAACATAGAGAGGAAGGACTGCAGAATACATTTATTGGATTTATGACATGTGAACAGCACCAATGTTGCATATTAGCTGCAGCTTCAGTGGCGTATGCAACGCTTTTAAGTAATCACTGAGTTAGGACAGTGACTTTTTTGTGCTTTAGAAAGTGCCCGCTCTGCTTGTAATTAGAGACATTCTCTTACTCACACTGCAAACATTAAGTGTATCAATTGCCCTTATTACTCAGACAGAACACCAAATGCTAAAAACGTATTCACTGTTGGATGAATCACTGATGAATCATATGTTTTTGACATTAAGCTACAAAACCTTTTTAACCCTAAATGCAGTGAGGCTCTGAGTTGGTCCACCACATTGGTTGAGGCTGAAATCACACAGCTATGACATGCAGCAGAACTGAGGTCCAGGTCATGTTTCTCAGAGGATGCACGTGTGGTTTTGAGTAGAACAATTCAACAACTGATCATTAATTTTTTTCCACTCAAGATGAAGTTCGAGACCGTTCAGCTTCAAATGTAACCTGCATTTAGAGTTAATTAGTACAAGTAACATTCTAAATGAAGTTAGTAAACATGCAAAAGCTTGATGCACTGCTGTGATTACAGCATACACAATCTCACAATGGCTACATGTCTTTACGAGTATTTCATCAGATTTAAAACACATATTAGAACCATAATCTTCAGGGAGTTGACTCACGTAAGTGCTACTTTTAACATCAGCAGATTTGCCAGTGTATTTCAGAACAAACAGAGGTGTAATTAAAAAGCATTAAAATGCATCCTTTTTATTTAAGTGAGTGTTTTGCACACTTGTTCTCTGGAGCAGAAATATAGTTAATTTGACCAATTACACTTGTTTATCCTGCTACTATGTGTCAAAAGGGCTGCTGTGAAAAAAAACAAGTATCAAAGCTTTTGAATTATTCATTCTGTAAATAAGACTACTGAAAATGAGTGATGGAGCTGAGTTATATTGACATTAACCATCCCAGAAGTCAGACACATTGGGCCCCAATCTGAGCTATTTTTGGCATTTACAGCTTAGTCACTGCCCATGGAAATGTTATGTGGGACAGACATGATCCAAATGCACCTAACATTTGGCCCATATAAGGTGGACGTGTGGCAGAGTTACAGCAGTCAGACCCAACCTGAATTAATGCTGCGAGTCAAGGCCAAATGCGATCCATGGAAACTGTAGATGTGGGCCGAGTTTGGGTCTTATTGGGGGTTGTTATCTTTAGGTTTAATTGACCGTGTGAAATATTTTGACGACATCTTTATGTTAAAAAAAATACATGAGAAAATCTTATGGCAGATTTATGGCACATTAGACATAAAACACTAAAGCTGGAAGTTTTCCCAGACAATTTCCATAATGCTGCAAATTATATTTGACGTATACCTGTCATGGATCAGCACACTGATGAACTTGTCAAGCTCGCTGGTCTTGTCAGTTTTTCTCATCAGCAAGGGAGTTTTGATAAAGTACAAGTGAACGAGGACCCCTGAAGTCTAAGGGAGGCATTACAGGCGGACACATTTGTGAATAGATAATGAAAGCAGGGTGTTCTGAGAAAACCGCTGTGATTGAAGAGCCCTGGAGCTACTGAGAAAAATAAAGAACAACGCACAGTCACTCTTACGAGAGCTTTTCTCACCTGAGTCGGAGCTTTAGATTTGGAGGGCTTTGCCATCGCTGTTTGGAGAAAGAATACACATCTGTCACATGCACAGCTGATAAGCAAAGTTTACTATGATGTTTCAGTTCAGATGGAGCTAGTTTAAAGAATCTAAATATATGAGACGATAAAAATAACCTGCGACTTCTCGTGGTGGTCACAAGGTGCTTGCAGTGACATGCATGTTACCATGTTACCATGACTCCGCAAATCACCTCAGCTGCGTGTTGTCATCACATATTGTCAAATTTATAACATATCATTAAGCTCACATTACGGACTGTACAACATTAAAATGTAGTTTTACGTGCTTGGAAAAATGGAAAATTACATCTGTGGTGGATAAATGCCTCTTTTTTTTTTTAAAACAAAAATTGTACTTTTCACTATGAAAGACCCATTGTATCCCCTCACATGGGTAACAGCACATAAAAGTGGTAATAAGAACTGCTCCAACCACAAAAAAAGAGCCAGAGCCAACACGAGCTGGCAGTTTCTGGAAAATGTGGATCCTCCCGTCTTGGAAAGGAAACACTGACAATTTACAATTACCGGACTTTGAGGGGGAAAAATGCATTTCCACTGAGAGAGTAGTAAAAGCGAGCCTGACTTGAACTTGAAGAGTCACAGTAAGCAGCCATGTCAGTTGTAAACCTATCACAGGCCTCCACACACCCACAGAGGGTGAATGGGTGGGGATCAAGGGCCCACCTACCTGCCAGGTACCTCTCCAGAGAGGGCGATGAGCTATGGTTCCAGCTGTAGCAGCAGAAGGACAAGAACCAGACGAGGAGGGTAGCCAGTACCAGACCTAGGACCCAGAGGAGCCGGGCCACAGCTGGGTTACTGGCAGCCCAGGTTGTCGAGATATCCATGCTGAAGGCTGCTGATCACACTGATTGCCACCAGAAGAGCCTAACTATCTATGCAGTCTAAATCCAGCAATGTGACAGCAGCAGAGCTCATGGGTGTGCTGCAATTGGCCAGTTTGTGTCCTCTCGGGGCAGCCACAGTGCCTACAGCAGCAGCAGCAAACACAGATGGATACCAGCTGTTCCACAAGGAGCCGGCTCAGACCTCAGCCCACGTCAGCTCTGTGTGTGTCTGTGTGTGTGTTAGCTTGTGTCTGTTGTGTTTTACTGAGTCCTGGAAAAGTGTGAGAGTGTGTGTGGGTAAGAAAAACAGTTTGGAGGAGTGGCTAAGAGCTGCAGCAGCAGCTAGCTTCACTGTGAGCCACTCCCTTAGAAGGGATCCTCACACAAAGTGACTGAAACAGAGGGTCAACTGAGAAATGCACTCGAGGTGGTTGCACATTTTTCCTTGAATACCTGCCAGCTGAAACTTGTGTAATTACAGGGTAGAGTCACATTCTGACACTAGACGGTGTTATAAAGGTGATCTTGTGCTGCAGCGGCACTTCCATTTCTTCACACAACATCTAACCTGCACAGTAAGATCCACATTATCTCTCACAGATAGTAACAAAGCAAAAAGACACAACACACGTTAATTAAATAGAACCAGTCACCCAACCAGTTTTAAATGAACCCATGTCCTTAAATAGAAGTTTCTAAAGTAAAGTACTGAAGACTGGTTTTACAGGGCATTTACGCACCGCAAATATTTACTGAGGATGTGCTATCTTGAAGTAGTCATTACTGTGTCATTCAATCTTTAGAAAAAGGTGCGGTTCAACAATAACTGCACGAGCAGAAACAAAAACACCGCATGTTAGGATTAATAGAAACACACGAACTGAAAATGATCAAAGGCTGCACCCGACGCTTAACCTTATGAGAGATTTTCCTCTAACAGCGAGTGTTTGCAAAAGTTACAAGTTTCATTCATTTGTCAGCAAATCACAGAAACTCAAAATTAAAGTCATTGCAGTCTTACAGATGTGCAGCTTTTGAAATGTTACCACTGTCTGCAGATCTGCAAGCGTCAAACGAAAAGTAAACCAACTGTGCCATCTAGTGGCTGAAAGACGACATAGGACATCAATAAAGGGGGGGGCAGAAATCTTTAATGTAAACTGTCATGTAGGCTTTTAGATGATTACTTTCAGAGTGCAAGGAAATAAGCTTCATCTTAAAAAACAAATAAAAATAAATCTACTGATAGCAGATTATAAATAGGTTATCATGTAACATCTTGAGTGTCAATAAGCTGCCTCGCTTCATTGCTTTATTGTTCAATGACAGGCAGTTAAATAAAAACGGTGGATAAACTGACAAATCTGTCAATAAAAAGCTTCAATAACATCCCGAGAGGCTTCCGAATCTTCCTGATGCTCATTTCAGCTCATGCTCAGTAGAAGCCGGAGTCCTGAGCAGCCCAGTTTGGTGTCTGAGGAAATGACACAAAAAAAAAAAAAACACATCAAAAAGAGAACAAACACAAAGGTAACAAGAAATTTGTTCCAAATTAGGAACCATCACAATAAAAAATACCTGCCAGCTATTCTGTCAAACTGACTGACAGCTGTGAAAAAAGTTCACATTAAAATAATAAAATCTTACAAAAACTACTGAAGTACTGCAAAATTAAAAAAGGAAAAGAAAACCAGGAGCCATAATTATAACGAACTGAGACAAATACAATGAGATATATGCTCCCGTTTTTCCACATTTATCCACCAGAGGGCAGTAGCACGAAGGAAAAGCGTCTGACACATGATTAGGCAGGTGAGACACATTTGTATCTTTAAATACAAACACAAACGTTTGCATTTTAAATTGTGTTTTAATTCACTTGTCCCAATATGTTTTTTTAAAAATGAAATGACAGATGAGTGATCATACTTACTGTTGTCCTGCACAGATAAAAATCCTGCAGTATTCACTCAGGCTTGAATAAAATACTGAATAGAAATGATGGTTTGCTGCCAGCGTTACAATCAAATGCTGTCATGATGTTTGCAAGAAAATTTAGTTTTCTTAACTTTGTTGGACCAAACAGAAATGCTTCACTGTGCTGTTCATTTTGTCTTCCAGCAACAACAAACACGACCAATGGGTGACATCTTTTAATCCCTGTGCAAAGTCCTCAGATTACCTCGTTCCTGCTGCTGTGTGCCAGCTTTTTCTCAATGTTCATCGCCAACATCTGGCTGCGGAAGGACAAGCTCTTGGTCTTCTCGATCACCTGTTGGTACGGCGACACTGCGTTGTTGCCCATCACGACGTGACCCTGAGAAACACTCGCAGGAATTAATATTTCCCCCCTCAAGGACTGATTTTAAAGTACTTCAAAAATAGCGCTCTGACAAGCAAATAAATACACAGTGTTACTACTCAAATCAGCAGTCATGGCTGTTTACGCTCAGTGATTTGAAGCTCATCTGGATCAGCGAATGCAGAGCCTCACCAGTTTTGAGTCGATCTTGGCATCAAGTCTGGCGTTACGGATGAGGTTGACGATCCACCTCTCCGCCTCCTCAGGCGTCATGTTGAGTTTGTCTGCCAGCATGCTGGGAGGAGAGAGTGAAAGAGGACGAGGCGTTTCATTTCAGTAAATATCCTCTGGTTAAATCCAAAAGTCTGCTTTTGAATATACTTTAAAAGAACAAGGACACGAGGTTAAAAAAACAAAGTAAATAAATATGGGAGCACAGAGGTCAAACAAGTTCAGAATATGAATCAACTGGGCACAAAAAGTTTACAGATTTTGTAGGTTTAAAAAAAATAAAACTTTTCCTCTAAAAGCAATTATAACTTCAGAAATAAAGACACTGCATAAAAACCCCTGACATACTTGATGCTGATGCACTGATGAATGCGGCAAAAGGTTTCAAAGATGAAGAGTCGGGCATTCTCGATGAAGTCCTCCAGACAAGCGACCAGAAAGAAGTCGTTCACAAGAACCTGACAGGGACAAAAACACCAGAGTGGTGAGCATCCATCAGGGTTTATACATACCAGGAACAAACAGTAGAAGACAGAATGTTCTACAAATGAGCAATTTTTAGTTCCCCTCTGCCAAATACAGGGTTTGCTTTTCAGTAAACACACGCAAGGAAATAACTACATTTCTGCCCCGAAAGATTACAACCCTCACCCTGCAGTGCTGAAAAGGTGCGTATATTCAGAGCATAATAACACCACCACATGGCAGCCACACATGATGTGCAGGCAAATATTTTCTGTGGTTTAGATCTTCAGCTACTGGTTATTCAAACCTGCATATTAAAATATCTCAGTGAAAACCATCCAAGTAACGATGCAGCACACATTTCTACAGAGGCTTTTTTTGTATAATCACACAGGGCTGTCAGAACTCGCAGCTGAAGTAAGTAATGCTTATATATTTACAGCAGACAGCAGTGGATGGCACAGCCCTTGGTTTTCCTCACGTTTGTGGGAGTGAGCCTCAAACCAAAATCAGGACCTTGCTAGTGGGCGATGCCCACCATCTGTTAAAAATAAATCAAAATACTGGTGCTAGAAGAAAATACGCACCATAGAAAAAAATCCTTCCAGCAAAATGCCTTTATGAAACAGTGTCGTACATGTATGTAAATTATGCATTAATGTGCTTAATAATCAGTTCATGTGTGTGTGTTGCTTCTGAAGTGGTTTTTCTTACATATTATATATATAAAGTGCTACAAGATGTTAATGCGCGTTTATCATCAGCCTCAGTACCAATAATATACTACTTTCCATGTTTTGGTAAATTTAGTTTTAAATGGTTACTTCTAACACATCTCAGCTTCATCACTAAGCAGCTATGTGCAGGGCTGTGGTAATCTCTCTACAGTTAAAAACATCCATGCTTTTTAAAACCCACAGTGTTTTGACAGATCAGTGGAAAACAGCTTTTTTTAAATGACCCCACACACACACCTTTGACATCAAATATTTTGCCAAAGGACAAAAAAGACAATGAGAGGCATCACACCGGTGTTTGTTGTTGAGACTATTTTTATATTGTATATGTTGTTTATTATATTAGGTGCATTTGTCACATGTTGAGTTTGAATAGTTTGTTGTAAAAGAGATCTTTCTATTAAAAACGAAATAAAAACACAAAAGGAGCATTACAAAAGTAATTAGCTCAGGTTGTACATAGCGCACTGAATCAACTCCACACTTTCACAGTAAACTCTGCAGACGCCACATTTACACATTTAAGTCCTGCTTTCTTTCATTTAGTGCCTGAGAGCTGTTTGATCTGCTGGTCTGTCTGCTATCGACTGACGAAGCTGTGGATGGTGCTTGTCCAAGCAATATTTAAGACCGTTTAAAGAACCGCTTAATACAGAAGCTAGTTGTGTCCTGTGTTGATCACTACAGACTTATTTGGGAAATTCTGTCACGCATTTCTTTGACTTGAGGTTATGACAGCAATGCATCAGAGCTGGTAAAGCAGAGTCTTTACTAAAAACTAACCACTCACAACAACACTGGTTAAGATTTATAGAATCTCATTCTTGCAGCTACGTACGGTACACAGTATTTAACTCCATCGTCATGACTAAATTTAACCCACACGGACAGTCGGCCCTTTTAACCATCACTGGAGAGCACAAAACAGTTTTTTTAAAACCTACCAACATCATTCAAATCCCTAATGATTAGAAATCTGTCACTAAACACAGAGTACTACTAGGCTGCGACTGCATTTCTACAAAAATAAAAGCGGCAGTGCAGAGGAAGGATGTTTGAGCGATCTCAAACTTCCAAGAGTTTAGATTTATGAACACACCGATGACAAACAGATGATATTGTGGTTTCATTTCGCAAACAGCTGTTGTGTAATAAATTAAGTCACTCACCACTTCAGCCTTCAGTTTATTTACCACACTGAAGCAGCTTGCTAGCTCACTGATTGTTTTCATATTTCATAGAGGACACGAAGCAGGGCCGTGCAGACATCAACTACTTCCTGTCAATCAAGTTCTCAACAAGACTTTAATCCTCAAACTGCACACCGCAAAACAAAAGCAATCATGTTTATACAGTAATTAAGACAAGTTTTTGATCTCCAGAGAAAGAAAAATTAAAAATGTAAATTTATATCCTCTTGAGTGTTACAAACCAACAGAATCCATGACAACAGACTTTCTTAATGAACTATCTTCATTCTTCCATCATTGCGCTCACTCTGCGTATCTGACAGGATAGTTGAAGGCTTTGCCAGCGCTGCATAATTTATACAAGAGAGGTTAAAAGCGAATTGATGAGAGTGCTTCGAGAATGTGCAAAGTGGTCCCCGAGCACAACTGCAAAATAGAAGTCAAGGGTTTTTAAAGAGAAGGCAACAGAGTCCGAAATCTGACAGCTGTTCCGCTTTGAAAATCAAACTGAATAAAAGTAAGAGCCAGCAAATCAGGCCAGACATGGATTTGCTTGGGTTGAATAGCTGCAAAGTTAAATGCCTGGGACTCAGGAGATCACAGCACCAAGGCTGAGGGGGGCTTCATATCACCCCTCAGTCCCAGCTGACAGCCAACTTTTGTGGGGCGATTTAGGCCTGTGCACGATGACAAAAGCACACCGTCAAAGACGAAAAACTGAACGAGGACGCTCCGGATGCTTTTCTTACCGACTCGCACTCCCTCAGCTTCTTCTGTGCGCTGTCGAAGTCGAAGTTCACGTAGAGACACTCCACAAACTCCGTGATTGGGTCCTTGTATGTGTAGGACTCCTTCAGGCGTGAGAGAGAAGCCATCATGTTGATTAAGTCCTCAAGGCACATTTGAAATAATTACTATAATCAACAGTTTCTCGGTCTTACCTGTTGGATGACTTTCACCAAGTCCTTGAGAACTTGCCTGCGCTTTCGTACATCTTTGTTGGTGATGACTGCGGTTGTGAGATATCGCAGGATATGCGGGCACATTGTCTGGATGGCATTCAGGTATCTGAAAAGCACAAAGGCAGCACGGAGCCAGACAAAAGTTATTCTTCACAATTAATTTGGTAGTATCAGCAGTCATTATATTTCAAAAAAGAACCAAGAAAATGCATTCACATAAAGAGAAACTGATAATACAAAAGTAAGGTGGCCGTCAAACTAGTAATATCTTCAATAATGTTCAAAGGTTTAAAAAATGATGTCCAAATGTCCTTGAGGATGGAACATCCAACATAAGCAGATGACCGCATCAGTGGCCTGAGCACAAGCCTGGCATTATATTAGAAAGATGACTGTTCTGTGATATAACTGATTATACAGTGACTCACTGAGGCTGGTAGAGGAAGAGCTCGATTATGTTGTCCCTGCCTTTCGGATGGTTGAAGAACACAAAGAGGGACCAGTGAATGAGCCAGGTCCTCTGCTGGAGTGACTGGAGTGGAGAGCTCACAGACTGAAAGGAAACACAACAAAAAACATGAGAAAATGTGACATCAGGCCGGGGTTTCCCGCAGCATACGGCAAACACAACCACACGCCAGGCATCAGCACAGCTTGGTCTGTATACCAGGGATTATTTCGGACGTTTTGCCACTATAAACCTAAAACCAACAACTACACAGGAGTTTAAAAAGAAGAACATGAAAAAACATCCTAGAAGATGCACATATGGTATACATGTGAAAATCCCTGGGGACTTCCTTCTGGAGTTATCACTTTCACAAGATTTTCAGAAAGGTTGACCTTCGACCCCAAACTTGAGGTCAGGTCACTGAAATTCGACTCTTCCAAGATTAGTAGATGCACCTACGGTATCAATTTTAAAATCCCACATGGCCTTATTGTCAAGTTATCGCATTCACAAACTTCTCCCATCTGTATTTTACAGCTGAGATAAAAAGCTGAAAACAGGCAAATGCTCTGACTTCACACGGTTTTATCTGTCCGCCAATACCAATCAAGTAGTGTGCGCTAATGAATGTGGGGAAAAAACATTCATTGCTGCCTGCAAGCAGCATTAAATGTGACTCAGTAAGTTAGTTTCTATTCATGATGAAAGTGAGAAATCAGGTGTACCGTCCTCCCTTCTAAAGCTGGGCTACAGTAGCCGAAGGCCTGGATTTTACTCTGCTGTGGACACGAAAAGCTGGAGACCCGACGGCCGAGTAGTCATTCCTCTTATACTTCTTTAAAGTTGACTGTCTGTTCCCATGCATGCTTGGTGTACTGTAATATGAACAAGTTGGCACAATCACAAAGAACAGGCAGACACCCAGACGTCTGTGTGGACCCTCACGCTCACTGTCAGATGCTGAAATTTATGTCACAGGGACCCAAGCAAACCCAAGGGTAAAAGGGTAAAACACACTTTAATCATGCTTAACCAGGATTTGGTGCTTTCTTATTTTATATTCACATAAACGTGGAAAACAAACCACCTGGAAACTCTTTCTATGGCCTCTCATGAACAGCATGGTTGGCCAGAGCTTTTAAGCTTTGCTGCCAGTGTGACTCAAGATTCACAAAACTGAGGCCTCGGTCACACTACAGCCCCTTTTCCATTAGTACCTAATTGGATCGACTCACCGCGGTTCATCATAGTTTTCAGGGTTTTCCATTAGGTCACAGTACCTGCTACCAAAACCTGCTCAGCTGGGGCTCCAAGTGATCTGAGCAAATACTAAAAATGTAACATTGATGTGCCACTGATTGGCTGTCGATGAGTCGTGAGAGCATCGCATTCACGAAAATCGAAACTGCCATTTTTGAAACCCAGCAACGAGTGAAATGCTACAAAAATAATGGCGTGGTCCCAAGTCTTACGAAAAGCCACAGACCGAGCAGCAGGTATATCGTCGCCTGTTTGCCAATCAGAAAAGCATCTTAATACACAATCTTTTTAATTATTTTCTTACATTGTTGTCGATAGTTTCCCTTAGACGAGTGAGATCCTCCATGGCTGCTTCCCAGTTCTGCATCAGGATCTCAGAAGCCAATTTTCCCCACAGGGAGCTCAGTGCGTTCCTGTCTGTTGAGGGGACCTGAGCAGATAGCAACAAGTTATCAAAATCAAACCACACCAAGTGCTGTTTAAGAAAAATTAAAGGCATCCAACTTCATATTTACTACACAGTGTATAATTTTTTAAGTTCACATCTTACCAAGACGCGGAAGAAGTAGAGGTATTCTGCAGCCCCAGAGTAGTTACCGCATTCATACTGGAATTTGGCGTACTTGTAAAGAGTATCCAGATATTCTTGACGAAACTAGGAAGTAAAATATAGGCGATTAAAATGGAAGCTACATTTCACTGAGTTCTTCCATCAGTACCTGTACGATAATAAAACTGTCTTGAAGCACAATCAGGAAACTTGGTAATAAAATCCCCCAAAGTTGATTCTGTTAACCTGCGTTTTCACTCAATTCAAACGAACGTCTTCAGTCTCAGATGATTTCTCACAGCCTTATAAACAATGCTGCTGAATAACGACAGAAACCAGCACCACTGATGTTAGCTGAGACCAAAGAAGCCTCTTGGATGAGCGATGAAATCCAAACGAACAAAATCAACTTTTGGGATAAAACTGTCATTTTTAAAAAGGCATAACATATCAAGTGGGGATGTGCGTAAGTAGTCAATTAAATGCTTAAATGCTGAGTAATGGTTCAAATTGCCTTTACATACAGGCACAATATTCATAATGTTTAACACTGTCTCATTTATTCTGTTTTCAGACTACTAGGGTTATCATCTGATCTTGTTTTTCTCCTGTTTAACTAGTCGATTATACATCCTCTTGATTCAGACTAAAATGAAAATTATATTAAGTCTACAGCTGTGCAGTACAGTGAAATCAATGCTGCATGTTTAAAAAGTGCTACCATCAATTTCCTCTCTAAGAAATCTGACAGGGAGAGGCTGGAAAGCTGACAGCAAGTGGCTGATTAGTGAATGTGGCAGCATCTTTCATCTTTTTTAGTAAAACAAAGCCCTCCCCTCCCTGACAACAAGCCCCCTTTTCTAATGCACACGATGTGGACAATGCTGGCATGCACTGACTAGTCGGTAATAAGAACTGTAATTTATCTGTACATTAGATTAAAAGACTAAAATTAAGGAAAGAAATTAATTAGAAAGCAACAAGTATTTACTCTGATTTTTGAATTAGTAATGAGCACACTGGTGCATCATGTTTGATGTTTAAGGATTCACAGATTTGGATAACAGTCCTGCTGGCTCACCGTGACAGCTGGTTGTTATGGAAACTAAAGCACACATCTAGCTCCCAACTTCCAAGATTAAAATGCAGTGCACCTTTTACCAAATATGAAACACATTGTGCATACACAGCTAACATTTAAATACTCACATTGTGCTTTTCTGACAGATAGTCAAACAGCATCCTCCCATCCCTGGTGAAGATTAAAACAAACAGATGAGACGATGTCAAACAGCTAGACGACTTTCACAGATCACATAAATAAAATCACAAGAGTAATCTGATCAGAGCTGCAGTGAAGAATGAACAAGGCTTCTGAGAGAGATTAATTTTTTTGACCTCGTGGACTGCATCTGTCGAGTGGTCTCCGGGTCTTCAAACATCTTGACGATTGGCTCCGTCTCTGACTGGAGCTGCTTCAGCTGGGCCACTACAGTACTTCTCTTCTCCCTTAAAGCTGAAGCAGAACAATAAAACACATCAAAAACAAATCAGCAGCAGGTAGACAGATTTACTTTGGATGAAAACAAATAAATGAATGCAGGACACTACAAAACCAAAGCAAAATGTTCCCTTTAAATGTAACTTAAAAATAACTTTAACCACCTAAGTTCATATTATGTTACTAATATTTCATGATCTCTTAACTCTAAACTGTCCAAGTGTGATTCATCAGTAGTTGGACAGTAATTAAAGTTACACTACAAAGGTCTGGCTTCTATGCTAAACTTTGCTTAAACTTAAAGATTAAGGAAACAATACATAAGATAAGAGGGTTTTCTCCTAGATCAAAAGGGGCCTTTGGGGTTGACCAAACACATAACAATGGTTGGTTCCCGTATAGTTAAAATAAAGAGTTTGTGTTACCATAAAGCACATTATGGTAACACATTTAAATAACTAAAATGCATTTAAGCTTTACTAAATTAAACCTGACTCAATTATTTAAGTGGAAAATCAAGAGCGCTTTGTTTTATTCACAAGAAAACTGTATAACTCAGGAAAAACCATTGCTAGCTTAAAGAGTCTGTAACCCATCTGTGGTGAGAGGCATTGTGAACAAATCAAATGCGTCTGTGGTACAACATTTCTTACTGTGTTGTAACAAAGCAAAGTGTTGAGTTGTTTTCTTACAGTGTGGGATTTCCTTGTCCGGATACAGATTTTTGTACACATCCATGGCGAAATCCACCATGTTTGTGTCGCTGAGTAGGTCCAGCTTTCCCTGGAGGAGTTCCTTCTCATTGTAGATCTGTTACAACAACACACATATTCACAGGATTGGTTCCCTTTGAAACGCGAATTCAAATAATGAAACACCGGCATAAACGCTCTTTAATAGCGCCAGGATTATCACAGTAGACACGTGAATGGGGTTCCTCCCATTCAGTCAGCTGTTATGCTATGTGCTCACTATAGTCGCTAAGCTATAAGCTAACACGCGGGGTAACAATCATAAGCCAGTTACCTACTGCATGCCCGTTTTATACATTTTCTAACCACTTATGGTGTCTACAACTAGCATTAAAACAATAATCTGGTTATAAAGGACTAAAGTGTATACCCAGTTGCAAACTAGCTGTTAGCTGCTAGATGACCGGCTTTCTAACGTGACTGTTAGCCAGTTAGCTCGCTAGGTCGCATCGCTGCAGGCCACAATCATATTTCACCCTATAAACCCCGCCAATAAACAACTGCATTTTACTTTTACACATATCACGCAAAAACCTCCATACCTCTTTCACAGACAAGAACTCCAGCAAAGGGAAAACCAAATGCCGGTCCAGAAAATGTGCAATCTTGGTGGTGAGATCGTACTCTGCCATCTTGACTGGCTTCAAAAGCAAACTTTATTAACAAAAGAGCGACAACAAGGCTCTGCTAGAGAAACTCAGAGCCCCGCCCCGACCTAGAGACCGCTAAAGCGACGTCATCACATTTCCGGTGAGCGCTTCATTCATTTTGGCTCCTGAGTCCAGCTATCTATCTATTCATCTATCCTTGCCTGTCTTCATTTGGTTAACCATTAATTAAATAGCCATTAATTAAAGTATATAAAAATAATTTAATGTTGACTTTTAAGCCCGCTCTGTGCTCGCAACAAAATATAGTTGAAATTTTTTGCCACTGTGCGCCCCCGGTTGTGACCTGAGGTCCTCGACCAAGGCTCTGGTGGCCATCCCACAGTCTGGGCTGAGAACCAAGCAGGCTTTTCCTGTCAGGACACCCACTCTCTGCAACAACATCCCTGAGGAGATCAACAAGCTCACTATCAACTTTTAAATCCATCTTAAAGACATATTTTTATAACCAGACTTACTATTCTGCTAGTGAGTTTTTAAAAGGTCTTAATTTTTATTTGTTTTAAATTTTCGTCTTTGATTTCCACTTTTCTTTCCCTCTGTTTCAGCATTCCCAGCCCTAATGTTGTTTCACTTTTATCTCTTCTTAAATATTTTATGTGTTGTTTGTTGAAGCACTTTGTAACTTTGTTTAGATTTTTTTTATTTTAATTGGTAAGAAAAAGTCATGAAAGACATTAGCAAAGTTGTAAGTGCACATACTGTAAAAATTAGGTAAATGAGAGATAAGAGGTTAAAAATTAAAAGAAGAAAAAAACCCCTCTTTATCCACAGACAAATGGCAACAGGTAAAAAACAAACAACAACAATGAATGGGCTCATTAAAAACAAACAAACAAATGACTAAAACTGGTCTACTCTTCTTTTTCATTATCTAACTAAGATCGAATTATTCTCATATTTGCCTAATGAATACTCCAAATCAGCCTAAGCAAACCATTGGCAGGTCAAAAGATAATTCCTGTCAGTGATAATTAGATGTTCTGCTTAAGATCATTGGGCACTTGCATTCTTAAATCTGAAACATATTACCTACCTAAATATTGCTGTACACCAAATGCTCCCTAGTGAGATGTAGTATGCAGTCAAATATTTAATCAGTAGTCTTCCCAGCGGGTCACAGTTTATTACAAGATAGATATCTGGAGTCCCTGCTGATCCTATCTACTCAGCTCAGTTTTTAGTTTGTATTCTGAGGTTGCATAATGTTTTCTGCAGCAAGAAATATCAAAGAATCCACCTCATATAGCTCTGATAATGTCACCGTGTCTCTGTAAGTAATCCAACCACATGAATGCACGATTGGTTTCCGAGCTCAAGCTGTGTGCTGGTCTGTGTTATTACAGATTCAGATGGTTATCCTCTGTAGCTGTTAGGCAAACTCCAGACAACCTGAAACATGATGCACTAAATGTTTCTGACTTGGCACGAGGTAAAGACACCTTTCAAATAAGTAAAACTACAAGAAAAAAAACATCTTTTTTATTGTTGAATTGTGAGTGACTGTATTTTTCACATTTTTAGAGAAGCACTGGGCTTAATCTGAAAGGGTGTTCATTTAATGTATTCTGAAACATTTTGGAGTCTTTGTGCTCCGTGTACATGCAGGCAACCAGAATGAGTCTCTGCTGTTTTACTGACCCCCCCGAGGTCAGAAAAGGGGCCGGTTAGGCAGGTAGCAGCTGTCACCACAGCCGGGACTGTGATATCAGAAATGTGGGTCATTGAGTTCATCAGCATCAGTTAATGAGCAAGAAAAAAAAGCACTCCTCAGCCCACCGGGGTTGTTACCAGCTTGAACCAGCTCTCATCAAGTCAATACTCATGGAGGAAGATCCGTTCTCTTCAGGGAGGAAGTATTGGTTGTATCCTGACTCAGATGTTTTGTAGGAGCAGAGGAGGGTTGATTGCACACCTCTGAGCCTCTGAGGCTGCCAGAAAACCAATGATGAGGGAAAGATGGCTCAGCCCAAAGCCAACGTGAGTTCATTTATCTCAATACAAGAGATCAAGGAGCATAAAAAAGGTCTTAGAAATCAAAAATGTTCAAATCCAACTATTACTACATCATGATCCCTGGCAACCTATAGAGGATGCATATAAATGGTCGAAAAACTATAGCTGATGACCCAAAATGCACAAATTGAACAAAATAAAACTCAAATCAAATCAGAAAGAATGTGAAATTTGGAGGAAAGAGTGTGCTTTTCGGTCTGTCTTTGTTAGCATGTGATGGACTGGTGGCCTGTTGCTGCTTATAAGATAACACGTCTGACACACCGACCAAACAAGAGCAAATTTACTTTAAGTCTTGTTGCCCTCCAGAGCACCGTTTCAAGAAAATGTGTCCTTCAACCCATAAAATAGAGACAAAATGTTGTGCATTATCAGGTTTTCAGGTTTAAACTTCCTCCCACCTGGGCTTCACTACTCACACACTCACAATAACAGTAAAAGCATCTTCACGTTTATGTGCTTAATCATCGCTGTTTAATATTTGGTAGTAAATCAAACAGTAGGCTGGACATGTTTTACTTTCTGGTGCAATAGAAGAAAAATCAGATAATCATAATCAAGTCTTATGTCATCCACCGTAAAGCAGGGACGTCCTTAACAATTTTTATGAAAATTCATAGAGCATTTATTCTAGTATGGCGTCTAAGCCTCAGTGGAGGAGGGTTCTGGGCTTAAACCCAGGCAGGGCTCGCCTGTGTGTCCATGTTTGCTACTGAAACGTATGCTTTACTAATGTTGCCTTGGTCCAGGATTCCTGTGAAAGACAGAGATTAAAATCTTAATTTTAAGAGATTCGCTTCCTGGTAACAAATTTATTGAGGCATTTTATCCTCGACTGAAGTAATGGCAATGGCCTGTATTTGTATAGCGCTTTACTAGTCCCTAAGGACCCCAAAGCGCTTTACACAACCAGTCATCCACCCATTCACACACACAGTCCCACACTGGTGATGGCAAGCTACATTGTAGCCACAGCCACCCTGGGGCGCACTGAAGTGGTGAAATGATCAACAGACTAAAACCAGCAAACATATTTTTTTTATGGTGGAGGCAAACATTCGCAATTTGGCTTTTGGAGCTTCTTGGAGAGACTCGCTTTTTCTGTTATATGCTATCTAAAGCTCATTTTGCTATTCGAGGTAGTGAAACTGTTTCCTTGGTGTGTCTGCACAGATACAGTTAAGAGTTAAATGGAGACAGAAAAAGCTGCATATGTACAACTTTCAAAAAGTGCTCTCTCATCACTTTGCAGCTCTCTCTATTTTCTCAGAGGCCACAGGTCAGCAAAGACATTTTCATTGGCTTTTCACTACCAAGGCAATGAATTCCCACATGAGATCTGCATGGAAGAGGCTGTGCATGCCTTACTGTCGTACATAAAAAGCCGAGACTGAAGGAAACCACTTTCTTGATGGCAAGCATCCCCCCCCCCTTTCTCTCTGTCCATCTTAGAGGCCAAGACATATCCCAGATTTGATCTCAGTGGCTGGCAGCCTTCCACTTCCACTTCTTTTTATGAGAACAAGAGCCAGCTGGCTGTGGTGCACTTCGCAGAAGAAGCCAAGGATTTAATAAAGACAGAAGAGACACAAATTAAACTGATTAATGAGAGACAAAAGTAGCTTTCTATAAAAGATGTAATATTGCATGTCATATCCGCCCTTGGATGGCAATTCAAATTCAGTGATGCCCTCCTATGAGATTTACTATGTCCTCTACCAGGTGGCATACTGCACCACTGCTCTAAGGAGCCCATCAGGACCACAAGCATTACAGTCAAAGAATTTCCATGGTCTGATATTAAAGTAGTGGAAATAAAATAGCAAGATGAACAGTCTGTCACGGGGATGCTCGCCTCCCCCTGAACATCAACTTCCAATTCAGTTTCCACACAGTTTCACTGCTAACACAGTCTGCTGGGTGATGTTTACTCGTGCATTGGTAAGAAACAAGCCCAGTGATGGCTTGTGGCTTGTTAGGTGCACTTGCTGTGCTGCAGTCACCAGGCAACAGTGGTGAGACACTTCCTCACACTGCCCAGCCCTGTAAATACAAGATTTAAGTGACACTAAAGACAAAATAGAAAGAGCTGCTTGATTATTATTATTTACAATCACACTACTCCCTCATTTTAAGCAATTCTACCAAGAAAAACAAGCTAATATGTGGTTAGGGCCCCTCAGTTTTTTCCCCTGTGCGTTTGTGGCTGGAAGTCGACTATAACAGAAGAAAATGAGCAGTTACCTCTGAAAAGTGGCCTGAATAAACCCCCCCCAACAACCCGATACACCACAATCTGTGCAATAAATATGAATATGTCATTCTAAACGAGCAAAAATTCAAGGGGCACATAAGAGCCATCTTAGAACCTCGTGAAGCATCTATCGGCTGACGAATCTTATAATTTCGAGTGAGGCAATCTATAGCTACAGCTTTAAATGACGCATTGATTAGCAAAACAGTGACAGGGTTGGTAACTCTCTACTTACAAAATAAAAAGCAATTTAAATGTAAAAGCTCACTTTAATGCTGGTACAATGTTCCAGACCACCAGCTGGAACATGTGCCTCTCTGGTTACAGGAGTGCACACGCAGGAAAAAGTCCCGCAGACTTCTAACACACTAAAAATAATTTACTATTAGCTTCTCCCCTCTGGAAGGAGTCATAGAGCCCAGCTCAGTGTGCCAAAATGTTCCATATACCGGCAAACTTATGAAGATTTTAATCAGCCAAGAGACGGTGGGAAGCAATTTTAGTAAAATAACACTGCAACAATTATTGATGTCTGGTGTACTGGAGGTGGATAAAAGTCACTTTTATTGTTCCTTATAAAATAATAACAATGATTACGATACATTTTGAAACGCTTGTATGTTGTGTTACATTTTGAAACGATTAGGCTCGGCTTGGTACGCTTGGCTTCTTATAATCTCTTGGCACAGCAAAACACGTCTGCATTCTTCATACAGAGTGCAGCTGGTAGTTGTTGATATCACACTACATCTGTTGGTCGG